ATTTGATTCGTACTCGTGCTTCTCGCGCGTCGAGTTTGGGTTGCGTTCTCCTGAAGTCGAACGCAATAACCTCTACTCATTTTTAGTTGATAATTCTTATTGCGGTGTTATTGTTGAACAGGTTTGACAGTGCAGCCTAGCTAAACTAACAAAGAGGTCCTATTTTGGCTGTATATGATGACTTCCTTGGACACAAACGGACTTAGTGTAAATCCCATTTACACCTCCATAGGAGTCAATGATATTAAACGCCGATTTTACGAACTCACTGTTCTATCATTGATTGCAGAAATGAATTCGCTTTTTTATCGCATTCGGTTTATAGAAGTCAAATTCCTGTTCCTGTTTTGGTGGGTCGGATTCGACACGGAGCGTCAGTATAAGATGAAACTTTTTGGCCTCATAGCGAGTTCATCTCTCAATGTTAAAACGTATTAACAAATTAATCCATAGGGGAACTCTCTCACCGAATCGGAGCAGCAAATTAAATGGTTAGAAGCCGAAAAAAAAACACATTTAATATTTGGTAGGTTTACTTTTTGATGAACCAAACATACTAACTAAATCTTTAAAATTTATGAAAATCCTCATAATGGCATTTACTTCCTGATTGATATGATCCTCTTACTGCGTGCCCTGTTAGGCGACTGTATTCCACAGAACGGCAAAAGAGATTAGACTTTTGGCCTCATGCAATATAAAGAAACCTGATATCGCCAACAAACTTAACTCATATGGGAACCCAATCAAGAAATTGTGGAAGCAATTTATGTGGTTTATATATAGTCCCGCCATGAATTCTATAAAAGGTCCATTTACATCAACCAAACGCTATAAAATTGAAAAACGCGTTAAAAAAGAAAAATATCTTTTCGACTACTTTAAGTCTACATGTACAAACAAAGAGTCATCTTTCAATACACAATAACTTAGTATCAGATGATAGCTCACACGTGCGGTATTAACCGATTTTCCCTGTGGAAATTCAGTCTAACCAAGCGTAGTCCTGCCTTAATTTCCTCAAAATTTTTGAGAACTAAGCACACTTTGTAAACGGAGAAAAATAAAAACATTTTCATTAGGGGAGCTTGTTTCTGATTCATAGGATAATTGCGAGGCCTTAGGCAAGAGTATGGTTTTCTCTTTCCTGCTCTAGATTGGTCCATTGTTTAATTTCAAATAGCCTTCCCTAACATGCTGGCTTGATAACCAGATAAAGTAATTCGAACCTCCACCTCCTACTAAAAGCATTGAAAAAAACTGACTTTTCTTTATTCAGATGATAATAATAATCGCTCATTATATCATGAATGGGCCGTCATCAAGAGATCCGGAATTCATTTCCATCAAAATAAAGACACACTTCAAAAACTTACACCTGGCAAACGATATTGTTTGTTACTGGCGATTAATCTTGGAAACTGCTTTGGCGAGTCATTTATCTTCAAGATACAATCAGGAGTGTTCGTTTAATACACGTATATCATCCAACGTGAAGTTTTAGTCGAGATGAACAACATTAATACAAGCTTCAAAAATTCCACTGAATGGAACGTCCAAACAAATGACTCATGCTTCTATCTGACTAGGTTTCTTATTTACGATCAAGAGCCTTTGAGAATTTCTCTTATTGTCAATTGTGCGTTAAATGTATTCCTATCTATCACAGCCATTGTTGGAAATACGTCCATCCTATGGGCTTTGAAGCGGTGCTCCCCTTCACTCCGCCCTCCTTCGAAAGCTCTGTTGTGTAGTTTATCACTATCTGATTTGGCTGTTGGTGTCCTTGTTCAGCCCTTGTACGTGGCTTACAAAGTCGCCGAAATGAGCGATCACTTTCGAATCTTTTGTATCGTTGGAATTGGATTCCATCTATCTGCCAATGTGTTTCAAGCGGTTTCTTTTCTAACGGTGACAGCCATATCGTTGGACAGGCTATTGGCGCTGTATTTACAGACAGCATACAATGCAAAGATCTACCAAAGGCGAGCTTGGATTTTGGTCTTTCTTTTGTGGTCTTCAGCAAGTCTTTGGGTGGTCACATGGTTCATAAATATCACAATTTATCAGATATTTAACGTTACCAGCGTGTGTATATGCCTTGTAATCTGCGCATCGGCTTACATTAAGCTTCAGATTCGCCTTCGAAAGCGGCAAACTGTAATAAAGTGTCGTCTTAGGACTCATGACCAAAATGAACCACAAGGAATTGTGAAGATTCACACACCACATCTTCATTTGTACCGAAGATCTGTGACCACGATGTTTTACATTTACATTTTACTGATTCTGTGCTACGCACCCTACTGGCTGATGTTCATTGTTATACAAATAACTGGTAGGAATTCTACAAAAATTGCTGCCCTAAGTTTTTCAATGACGCTCCTATTCGCCAATGCGAGTGTTAATCCGTTTCTTTACTGTTGGAGAATTCACGAAGTTCGAAAGGAAATCGTAAGGATACTGGATAGAATGAGATGTCGAAAACAACCTTAAATTAATAACTTCCAACATGATTTTAATGGAGATTTTGACGCCATCCGATGTCATTAGTTTACACCTTAAACTTAATGAGGAAGGACTTAACTAACACCGTCAATTATAATTGTCAATTGCAAGGTCTAACAGTCTTTCATTAGTAAAAGGAAGAAGCGACAATTTTAAACTATGCTGTTTTTCGCTTTAAAGTGCACCTTTCAATAGTGCGTCCTAAAGAAGGAATCCCGATTCCTTTTTCCAATCAGATTTTCTTGATCCCCGACCTATTACGATCCCAACAGTAGCACTTTTTTCCAATTTTAAAAATTTCAGTTGTCATGTTAGCCACTCAGGGCAACATTTTAAATCGATTCCGGTTTGGAATAATAATCAAATAATACCTTATACGCCTTAATCATATTTCTAAGAACACTTTTAAATCTGATTGGCTATCAGCAGCCCTGATTTTCTGTTTCTTATTTGTAGGGAAAAAAAACTCTCAAGATCTCTTGTGTTTAAAACATGCATTCAAATTATTACAAACTACCTCAATTTTTGTCGTAGTTACAGTTGACTCCAGATAATTCGAACTCTCGCTAACTCGAACCAAAGTCGATTTCCCCTAGATTTCCTTCTTACATTTACTGTAATTTTACCCTCCGTAACTCGAACCCTCGTTTACTCAAACCTTAGCTTCTGCTAACTCGAAGTAGTTTTTGTTTCCCTTCAGATCATTTCTATACAATTCTACCCTTGATAACTCGAACCATGTTAAAACGCGTGACCAGACAGGGAAAAAACCGTGTACTGAAATCCGAAACATTGAATTTATTTCAAAACAACCGAGTCATTCTTTAATTTGTCTTTACTATTTTGTCCCTCCAGTTCAAATTCAGTGTCCATCCCTGTATGCTTTGTTGCTTAATTGCATTCCCTCCCCATCCATTTGCTTTTTTCCCCACTTCCGGTTTTTTGCTTCAAACTCCCAATCACTCGAACTCCCAACAATTCGAACTTTTTTCGATTTCCCTTGAAGGTTCGAGTTATCGGGAGTCTACTGTATGATTAATTGGAAACAGAGTTCAACATTTGTTTATAAACAAATGAACATGTGACAGATCTTACTCAAGAAATATTGAACAGTACCGGAGAATAGTAGGTAAAGCGTCCATGGGACGGCTGGTAGCCCTTACATGGTCGCATTACCGAATAGTAGGACAGAGAAGGAAACGCCCAGTCCAGTCCAGGCCTTGGGATATGTGAATTTCACCAAAGTTATTTTTAGACCAATTAAACGCTTCAAATTAATCTCAAGTTGGTTTCCGTAGAGGTCCGCAAACTTGTATTCACTGCTGTCAAGAGAAAATTCAACAGTCGCCATAATGATTGCATTTTGCAATCTTTACTTTGAGAGGCGGTTGCCCGTGGACTTGATGAGTTTTCTAACAAACGATTGAAATGTGCGGACGTCTTAGGACTTGAACTTCCGTTTAGAAATACACATATCCCACCAACGCCCTCCGATTCACTCTCTTGACAGTACCTCAGGCCATGTTCAATTTTGAAATTGGAAAATTCAGCACCGTGAAAGTTGAAGTCGTTGAACGAGGACAGAGATGAGCTCTATTTCGCCCAACATCCTTTAAAAAACTTGGCGAGCCGTTTTCAAAAGAAACAAAGGCCTGAAGTTGGCCTGACGTTGGCCTGGCTAGAAGGGTGTCTCCATCATCGAGAAGTTGGTGACCTCGCTAGGCTGGTCACCCCCCTAGCCGGGCCAATTTAGTTTCTCGTGTAAACGGTACTCCAAATTTTGTAAGGAAATGTAGGAAACGTTGGCTTACCTAAGATAGTTTGGATAGGTGACCCTTTTGTATGGGGCAAGGTTTTTCTACGTCCAACAAAAGATCTTACCACAGGACGTGGTATTATTTTGGTTCTATAGACAACAACGGTATACTTCAATATATTTTATCTTCATCTATGTTTAAAGCTCAAATGTATCTTCGTGTTGGGTTTTCGTGACCAAAAAGGAATGATTATATGTTAAAATTTCTTTTATGCATATACCGCCCTATTTTCACCAAAACAATTTTATTGACTTTATCCAACAAAGATTCAGTAAATAATAACAAATATCTAACTAGTAATACGAGAAACGGAAACAAAGAGAACACAAATAAATAAGGATTCTAAGTCATCCCTAATTAAGAGAAGCTTAAGTACTTGGATTTATAGCAATTAAACAAGGCGCGAAGATTTATGTTTTCATGGAACACACCAAGCATTTAGAAATAGTGCTTCACAAAGGCGTATTGTCAAAGCAGCCGTTTGTTGAATAAATTAAGGCCCGTCAAGATAAAACCCCAAGATGAGAAAATGATGAAGAGTTACATTGCATAGCCTATAATATCACGAATCAGCTGCATTCAAGAGACACACTCAAAAACTAACTAGTTTAAACACGACTATGATCCTTCGCACAATTGGCATCAATTAGTCATTCATGACTAAGGAGCCAGAGTTTAATCGTCTTCCTTTGGTAAATCAGTCGTCTCAGTTAGTGTCTCAAAAGACAAGGTCACTCCTTCATTAACTACACCTTCACTGCCGTGGTTAAAGTCACTCGAAGATTTGGTGGATAAGTTGTCGTGATTACGCCACACTTTGCCTTCGTTCATTCCATGGTTCTGCTCCATTTGTTTTAGCTTGCAATTTTTATTGTTCTTCTTGCTTTTTCTTTTGTTGTTGCACAAATCAAACTTTTTTGGACAGTTAAAAGCTCTTTTTGCAGCGTTCCTGAATTCCTTGCTCAGGAAAGAGCTTACTACAGGATTTAACACGGCGTGCAGGAAGGCTAACAAGTCTACACAAACCATAAGAATACCAAAGGGGTCGTAAGATTTCATAAGAGGTACAACATGCAACAGTTCAATAACCGTAAAAGGAGTTAGACAGACGAAGAACACTATCACTACAACTAGAAGCATCCGGATGATACTACGCCGCATTTTCATGACGATACAAATATCGAATCGTGATCTCTCACGATATCTCCCTACAACGTCGGAGAGTTTCTTCGAAACTTTCGCGTACGTAAAAATCAAGATCACAAGAGGAACAAAGTACAACAAAATGAACTTGGGTACGTGATAAGCCAGAAAAACTGGCAAGTAGTCATCTGGGCGGCTCTGCATGCATACTTGCTGGCCCCGGTGGGACATTTCGACGGAACTGAGAAAAAGTTGTGGTAGCGACAAGATTAACGACGTAATCCACGCTAGAAAGATGAGTCTCCCACATTTGAATTTAGCTTCGTGGCCCTTGAATCGTATGGGTTGACATATTGCTAAGTATCTCTCAATGCTAACAATGGTCAAGCTTATTATAACGACGTAGTAAAATACATGCAGCACATAACGATGGACTTTGCAAAGGCCATCCCCCGATTCCCAAACGTCCTTGAAAATGGACACTCCTTCCAAGGGAGTCTGCAAAGCAAAAAGCAAGTCCGCTGCAACCATGTTGCAAAGCAAGTTATTGGTAATATTTCGTAGTTCTTTCGCTCGCCAAAACACGAATAGTATAGCTGAGTCCACGACGAAAGCAAAAACAAAAAGTACAACATAAGTGATAAAAGCAAGAGCGTGAAGCCAGGAAGGTAAATCGTCAGCATACAATTCTTCTGTGGAGCTCGGGAAACTTGTGGTCGAAAGCATTGTTGTTGCATTGCTGTTCAACACCATACTAACGTCGTTTGTTCAACACGAATGATAATTCTAGAGCATCGGGACCAATATCACACACAAAAATCAAAGTGAAGTTTCGGACGGCTTACACCAAATTTTACTGTGGTACACGGTCTCTCAGCTTGGCTCAGACTTCCAAACAGCATGAGACACTCAATCGGCAGTGAAGCAGCGAATGAAGGACAACAGCTTCAGGCTAGACTTCTTGATAGTTCGCAAGGTTCGCTCTGCTGACAATTACGCTATCGTCACCTCCAAGTTTAAGTGTAAAGCACGAAACAGCTCGCTCCTTCAAAGTCACGGCACCAAACTGCAAATTTTAGCGCCAATTCTAGGGCAGATTTGTTTGCCGATGCCAGTCTATAAGCGCTCGAACGACTTCTTTTTGTTAATCCTAATGTGATATTAAGCGTGGGAAACACATGATTTACGAACTGAACAAATAAAGTTATTCACTACGGATATGATTCAGCATTGTTTTGTTTTAAATGCTTTGCCTCGGTAACCATTAATGGCCTACTTAAAAATAAAGTTCATCTTAACTTTGAATTACCTGTATGTCGACCTTAAGTTTACGTTTTGGCTGAAAACGATGTAAGAAGTTTAACTAAACTCAAGTAACCTCAAGTCCAACTAACAGTATGTGTGAGGTTTTAAACAAAACAAAAAGGCCGTAAGGACAACAAGGTCAAGGGTGATTTCACTTTCATCATAATGATTTACTGAGTAAGGCAATATTGTGACGTCAATCAGCACTAAACGCTGATGACGGAGCACGAAAGAAATCTAATGCAGCGTCCACACAGACGCGTTTTCGCTAGACAATGTTAACATCTGACGTGTTCACACGGGTTTGTGATGAAAATGAACGTTTTTGAAAATTACGTTGTGGAAAGTAAAGTTTTAAGGAAGCAGAGGTCAATAACCTCGTCAATAACAGGCAAAAACGGAAAATTCAAGGAAAAGCTGGGAACGTAAACTTATCACAAGATATGGATTTTTATGCCGTGGTGTAGAAGGTGGAAAACGCTATAAGGCAAAATACTTTTTAAACTTTTGGGGGGAGGGGGTTTGTCTGTCTGTCTGTCTGTAACTTTCTTTGTTTGTTTGCCAGTTTTGTTTTCTTGTTGTTGTTGTTGTTTCTTTTTTACAAATAAATGGCAGAGGTTTCGTTCGAAACATATTTGTGTAGAAGTAGTGCTGTCAGTGTAGTAGTAGTAGCAGTGAACAGTCAGTGAGTCGTCGTCATACTATAGTAGTTGAGTAGTAGTAGTAGTAGTAGTAGTAGTAGTAGTAGTAGTAGTAGTAGTAGTAGTAGTAGTAGTAGTAGTAGTAGTAGTAGTAGTAGTAGTAGTAGTAGTAGTAGTAGTAGTAGTAGTAGTAGTAGTAGTA